ACACACACACACACACACACACACACACACACACACACACACACACACACTCAGGTCTGGAAGTATTTGGACAATCACAGAGTTTTTGTGATTTTGCCTTTATACACCACCACAATGGATTTGAAATAAAACAATCAAGATGTGATCAAAGTGTATACTTTCAGACAGGTCCCAAGATGATGTGAGCCGAATTTGGTGAATACTGGGCAAAATTTGGAGGAGTAGCAGCAAAAATGGCAGTAAGCATTTTTAGCATGGTGGTGTAACTTTTGACGAGTACGAAAAGGGGTACGAAATTTCTTGCATAGCCTCAGGTCATGTCCTGAAGATGCCTACCAAGTTTTGTGTCATTGCTGAGATACAGCCTTACTTCCTGCTTGGCAGTGTCGCTGTCATATTTTTTGGCCATTACAGGCAAACCATTTGGAGTAATCAAAATTCTTTTGATAACTTTTGTGAGGCTTGCTCTGAAGATGATGTATGCCAAATTTAGTGATGATTGGACAAAATTTGTAGGAGAAGTAGCAAAAAATATCCAAGATGGTGGAAAATCTAATTAAGGCATAGGGTGCGCCGGACTCATCTCGATCCAGGGAATCCAGGGATGCCTGGCGTTAAACTTTGGACACACTGTTCAAAAATTATAACCATAAACATATTTACAACTTGGGCCAAAATTTGACCCGATGGTGGTGCTTGAGTGTTGGCAGCACTTAGCCCAAATTTGGTCAGAATGTTCCTTAGACCCTCCCCATTCAGTGTGCCAAAACTTTCTACCGCACGGTTCTATGAGCTGCCATAGACACCCAGGAGCAGGAGAAGAAGAGGAAGAGGAAGAAGAGGAGGAGAAAAGGTAGAGTAACAGTAGGGTGCCTACGCATCTTCGGTGCTTGGCCCCTTAATAATAACATTAAACACTATAAGTCAACTAAATGTTCGTTAATTGAAATTGCTTTACACTTTATGGGTTAAATGGGGATTTTATTCCTTATAAAAAATGTAATAAACTCTAATGTTTATTTAGGCGTAATATGTTTGTACTTGGAGTTATAGCGCCCATAATTATGGCATAAAGTCATGTCCGTCTGCGTCTTGTTAAATATTTTCTATTAATATCACTACTGTAACGGCGTCCATAGCGTTGTCTTTCCTGATTGGTCCAATTCAGAAGTCAATCAAGTTAAGCCAATCAGCGTCGAGTGATTAATGTGAGCGTAGAAATAACACAAACTGCGGTTTGACAGTGCTCTTACGTCACCCGCACTCGCGCCAATCAAAAGCCCCAGCGTCATTACTTCAAGCGAGCCATTGGTCGGGGCTGAGAGTGGCGCAGAGAGATATTACACCCCCCCGCCCCCCCAAAAAAAAGAAAAGAAAAGAAAAGAAAAAAAAAAAGAGAGAGTCTCCGCGAACGTAGAGCGGTTTGTGCTCTCACGGCCGAGGAGTAGAGCGCGACTTCACGTTTTCGTCTCGGCGTCAGTCTACGTGCTTTACTCGTCTCTTACAGGAGGTTAACGGAGGGTTCAGCGGCCTGGCCGGTAAGCGCGCGGCTCTGGGTTTCCTTCTGCTCCACATCTCGCTAGCTTAGCATGTCTTAGCCGCCAGTCTGAAAACCATCTGAATGTCGCTCCGGCGCAGATAATCATCAGTGTAATATAATGACGACTATAAAGGCAGGCTTTTAGATGGAGGAGAACACTCCCCTTCAGCAGCTGCCGGTGTCGCGCGGATGGGTGTGAGAGCTGCCGCGTGACTCACTGGTCACGTGTTAAACCGGGAACGGTAGCGTCCTCTAAACTGCTATATCCTGTACAATAACTCTGTAAACTTATCCTCAGATAACTCCATTTCCCAGTAGATCCGTGGTGTCACTGATGGACTGAATCAGTGACCTGGTAGTTACTTCAAATATTTTATGGACCGCTGGTGGAAAACCGCTGAGTCATTTTCTGAGCATGTACAGAGAGCGCACTGACTGCTGGGGCTTCCGGGGTGCTATTATTTATGAGCAGCAGAGAGAAAGCAGTCATATATGCAGTCATATATGCTTAAAGCGCAATACTGGGATTTGATTTGTGAAAAAATAGATAAAGAAATGAATAGTCCCCAGTATGCTAATATGTAGTGATGTAGCTACAGAGACAGCTCTCTTCTGAGGGAGGAAGCTAGTTCATTAGTGAAATGTGACATGCCGCTGATCATGATGAAGATGGCGATATGCAAATCAGGCTATGACGTCATCCAGCTACCTGTTGGGCAGTGTGTAGTCAACAGGCAGCTGGATGACGTCATAGCCTGATTTGCATATTGCTATCTTCATCATGATCAGCGGCATGTCACATTTCACTAATGAGGCAC